GTGGCACGCCTGCCACGAGATACAGGAAATGGGATCGGGTTGCACGCCTGCAACAAGATGTGAAAAGAAAGTGAAATCTGCCTTTGTTTTCCTTATTCTTTTTAGTGGTTGATTTTGATTCCTTTATAATTCTCTTGATATTCTGTTTTACCTGTTATTCCCCGAAGCATGTTTCCCCCTCCTATCTTTATTTGTTTATTTCTATATTTCTTTTCCGTTGTATATATTTGAACTGCACATGTTTATTTGGTAGTCTGGTCCTAGCCTCGTCACTACTTCGCCAAGGTTAGGCTAGACACTTACCAGCACATGAGGTCGGTTGTGCTGATACTACACTCTACACTCTTTTGTGCAGACCCCAGTGTTGTGGACTTCGGACCGTAGAGAGATTGCTGATTCTTGATCATCAGGCGACCCGAGGTAGTCCTGCAGGCGTCCACAAGCCTTAGCGTCACCTTCTATCTACTATTCATATTTCTTTCATGCATTTCTAGAGATAGTGTTGTATTTATTTCTTTCTTTCAGACCCTTTATTTGTAGTATTCTTAGACGTCTGTGAAACTGTGACACCAGTTCTGGGTAGTCGAGACTCAAACAGTTGTATTGGATATTCATGTTTAGATAGCTTATTGTTTCTTTCTTCCTCTTATGTTAAATTCTGTTGTTTAACTATTATTATTTCGAAATTGTTAATGAATATAAAATGGGTATAAAGGTAAATTGTTCAATTGATTGGCTTGCCTAGCTCGAATTAGTAGGCTTCATCACGACTCCCGAGGGTGGGAAATTCGGGTCGTGACAGGCCTTGACCTAACCTCGTCACTATCCTTCTAAGGTTAAACTTGGCACTTACTATGTACCATTGTGGTATACTCATACTACGTTTATGCACATCATTTTGTGCAAATCCAGGTACTTCTTATCAATTCCAACACTAGTGAGCCGAATTTTCATTTGGAGACTTCAAGGTACACTTGCCCACATCCACAGGCCTCAAAGTCCCCTTCTATCCCTTTTTATATTTTTCCTTCTATACTAGACACAGTTGTATAGGAATGTTTCTGGTATTACCATAGAGCTTGTGACTTGTATTATGCCAGGTTTTGGCTATTGTATACACTTAGCTGTAGAGTTCGATTTTCCTTTTTAATATATGTTGTTAAGTTTTGAGAATTTAGATTATTGTTTTCATTCACTTCCGCATGTTTGTTAGGCTTGCCTAGTCTTAGAGAGTAGGTGTCGTCACGACATTCTACGGAGGAAAATTGGGGTCATGACAAAGCAGCTCATCGTGATAGTCACAGATAGCTCCTAAGCACCCTATTGAGTGCTGCTCGATCGTACCAGGCTCAGAATCTGCACAAATATATACAAAAATGTAATAATATTACAAAGGTTGCAAATATAGTAAGAACCGTAATCGACCTCAACAAAGTAGTTGCAAAAGTTTTGTCAAAAATTTACTTACTCTACAAATTTGTGCAGTTTTATACACAACTGTAATAGAGAAGACGCACAGAGACATCATAATAAGATATGCACAATAGGGCAAGTGATGTAATAGCTCCTATATCAAATAAGAAAGTTTCCAATGCATATAATTAAGAATGTATTCAATCAGCATATATAGATGATATGCACAAGTAAAGCATTATGCTCAACCCGTTAACTGGTATCATAAATCACAAACCTGCACAGACAAAATCCAAGGTAGCATGGATAATCATGTGACTCTAGAGAGATGGATCCAAACCCATGTGCAATAGGAACGTAAATTCATATGCACTTCAAATGTATGTACAATATGCCTTATCAATACCTCAACTGGAACGTGAATCCACACGCTCTAACAACTCAATGTCTCCCAACAGTGTCAAGTTAAGCAGTGAGAACAAGATACATATGCTAACATGGTGTATATAAGAAACAATATATGACCAAATAGTTCTACCATATAAAATAGGCACATAAAATTTAAATTGTTAAACTAGTATCTGAAGGATGCTTATAACATTGTACTACTATAAATAAGTAGCTCAAGTAGACATACGACATGCAAAACATGCAACAAGTAAGGCATGTAACAAACAAGGCATAAGAAAGCTTAACAAATTACCACCAAGAATGGATTAATCTTTACATCCATATATATGTTCGTCACATCGCATATACATTATATTATCCTCATTCATGCAGCACATAGTGACAATATCATTTGTACGAAAAATTCTCCCATCGAAGTAAACAAAGATATTTACTTCTATCCAGACAAGCTTTAACTTCAAACACTGCTTTACCTTGCTCTGAAGCCTCTAAACGTCCATAATCTACTCAAAAAATGCTTGACATATAGTTATACGACTCAATTCCATAAGAAAAGATTTAATCTTGATCAAAGTCAACAAAAATCAACTTTGGGCCTACATGGTTACCTAAAATAAAGTCCAAATCACATTGACCATAACCTTACGAAGTCTAAATCTATGCTAAGATTCTCAATCTAAGATCATTTAGACACATCATTTAGGCGATTCTAGGTTTTCTCCAAAAATATATCTTGATTTCGCCTTTAATCATTATTTCTAAGATATAATAGATTATAGATTCACGATATATTTATCGATTCAAGTTAGAATCACTTACCTCAATGTTATAGTTGTAGATCTAGCTCAAAACCCCTCAATCTGAGCTCCCAAAGTCTCCAAAATGTGTGAGAATGAACCAAAATCACAAACTTGGGACTATTTATACAAAGAAAAAATATTGCACATCGATCAGGGACGGGACCATGTCACGAGCCAAGTTTTCCCTCTGTGAACCGTCGTGATGGCACCAAGTCTCTACGACTAGGTAAGCCTAACATTTGCAGAACATGAAACGAAAACATAAAAGCTAATAGCTAACAGATAAATTTTAACAAGAAATTAAAATGTCGCTCAGTATATACGATAACCATTCTCGAAGTGTACATAAACTCTCCCAAAATCCTGAATATCGCAAGTCACAAGCTACAGAAACAAAATAGTATTTCTATACTCTACAGTCTAACAAAAGAAAATACAAGAAGTGTTTGACATGGGGAAGAGTAGATAGGGACTCCGAGGTCTGCGATCGTGGTAGATATACCTTGAAGTCTCTACATCTATCTCGCCTCACTAATAATGCGACTGATAAGTGGTACCTGGATCTGCACACGAAAATCATGTGCAGGGAAGGGCATGAGTACACTGTAACTGTACTTAGTAAGTTCCAAACCTAACCTCGATCAAGTAGTAACGAGATAGGTTCAGGGCCCTACTGCTATAAATATAATGAAATAAGACAGAATGAAATATCGTAGTAAAAATAAATACGAAAATCTAACATGAATAGAATCATAGAAAGACAACAGCTCAGAACACAGAGATAACAACAAGGGGAGCTCCCGAGATACCGTCTCGTAGTCCCAAACGTAAATATGTACGGGGATCTCCCAGAATACCGTTCCGTAGTCCCAATCAAAACTCAGAAATTCGGTTGAAGAACTTTCCTCTATTTTTCTCAACTTCTCACCCAAATTCCTTAATTTGATGAAAAAAACAACTATGGATTATGGAATACAACCAAAAATGAGTTAGGAACCATTACCCCAAAGCTCTCTCCGAAAATCCCTCGAAGAATTGCCAATTTCCGAGCTCTCAAGTCCAAAAATGAAGAATGAATTCAAATCCTCGAAATTTCCCATTTTTCTGCCAGAGAATTCGCTTCTGCGAGCTTTCAACCACATCGGCTATCCCACACCTGAGGAAAATCCATCGCAGGTGCAAAGGCAACTTAAGTGGGCTGGGACCGCACCTGCGAGCACTGGGTCGCACCTGCGAGCCCGCTCCTGCGGTACACTACAGCTTTTGCGGAACAATAATTGCACCTACGATCCTAGTTGGTCAGGTCCAAAATCGCTTCTGCGGCTCCTTGGCCGTTTCTATGGCTCTGCACCTGCGGCCCAAAGTGTGCAGGTGCGAAAACACCAGGTGCAACAGATTCATCAATTGGGTAAGTCCAATTTCCATCCGTTAAGCACTCGAAACTCACCCGAGGCCCTCAGAACCTCAACCAAACATACCAATCAATCCTAAAACACCGTAAGAACTTAGTCAAGCCCTCAAATCACATCAAATAATGCTAAAATCATAATTCACCCCCCAATTCAATCTTAAAGAACTTGAAACTTCTAAATCCGACAACCGATACCGAAACCAACCAAACCATGTCTGATTGACCCAAATTTTGCACACAAGTCATATTCAACACTACAGACCTACTCCAACTTCCGGAATCAAAATCCGACCCCGATATCAAAAATTCCACTACCGGTCCAAAACTCCAAAAATCCGACTTTCGCCATTTTAAGCCTAAATGAGCTACGGGCCTCCAAAACATAATCCGGATACGCCCCTAAGCCCAAAATCACCCAACGGAGCTAACGAAATCGACAGAACTCCATTCCAGAGTCATCTTCACATAGTTCTGACTACGGTCCAAATCCTAAGGCTTAAGCTCCCATTTAGGGACTAAGTGTCCCGGAACACTCAAAAAAACAAAACGAATCCTCCTGACAAGTCACAATAGCAGAAATAGATATGGGGAAAGCAGTTAATAGGGGATCGAGGCTCTAACTCTCAAAACGACCGACCGGATCGCTACATGACACATCACCCTTTAATGCACGTGAACTAGGAGTGATAGCTAGTACATCGTGCCCAACGTCACACTTGACTTGGGTGCGATGGTAGAACTTTTCATTACATAACTCTACTGGGGGTGTAATCTAAGGTACCTCTCCACTCTAGTCGCGGTAAACCTGGCATAGCAAGCATCACGGTCTTGGAATGACAATCAAGAATAGCATAATTGGGAAACAACCAGTCCATGCCCAAAATAACATCAAAGTCCACCATGCTGAGAAATAATAAATCAGTTCTGGTCTAAAAACCACTAAGAGTAATTAAACACGACCGAAAAATGTGGTAATCTCCCACAGGAATAGACACATAAATAGGGGAACTCAAAGAATCCTGAGATATGCCCAAATGTGGGGCAAAATAAGAGGATATATAGGAATAAGTGGAGCCTGGATTTAATATAACTAATGCATCTCTATGACAGACCGGAACAATACCTGTAATGATAGAATTGGAAGCAACGTCCTCTATACGAGGAGGAAGGGCATAGTATCTGGCCTGGCATCCCCCTCTAGGGCAACCTATACCTCCTCGACCTCCACCTCGGGCTGGCTAAGCAGGTGGGGTGGTAGCTGGTGCTGTAATCATAGCCTGAGGACTAGGTGGAGCACGTTGTGGCTGAGAAGTCTATGGAGGTGCAGCCCTCCTATGTCTGGGGCAATCCCTCACCATATGACGAGTGTCACCACATTCAAAACAAGCTCTAGGAGGATGTGACAGCTGTGGCAGACTCGGGCCAATTCTGCTAGATTGGCCGCTGAAAGCACCCTGTGCAGGAGGCACACTAGATACTAGAGGTGCATAATAAGGCTCCTGAGGTCTTGGAGGAGCTAGAATACCACTAGCAGCTGGAAGAGCTTAATGAACAGTGCGACTCACATAGCACCTACCATGATGAACTACAGCTAGGGCACAGGCACCAGAATAATGGCCAAACTCTCAAGACCTCTTGGCCTCTCTCTCTTCCTATCCCGAGCAAGCATGCCCTCCACTCTCCTAGCAATACCCACCACTTATTGATACGAGATATCCATCTCTAGCTCTTAGGCCATGCTATGCTGGGAATGAGTCCCTCAATAAACTGATGCACCCTCTCTCGAATTGTAAAAACCAAGGCTAGTGCATTTCTAGCCAAGTCATTGAAACAGACTACATACTCTGAAACAGTCATTGAACCCTGGCGCAACTGCTCAAACTCCATTCTCCATGAGTCCTTGAGGCTATGAGGGACATACTCTCTCAAAAACATGTCCGAGAACTGAGTCCATGTAAGGGAAGCTGCCTCAGCCAGGCTGTCCAACTCATAAGTACGCTACCACTGATAGGCTACCCCTCAAAGCTGAAAGGCAATGAAAGAAACCACACTCGACTCTGCTATGCCCATAGTACGGAGGATATGGTGGCACTCCTCCAGAAATCCCTGAGCATCCTCTGATGCTAGACAACTAAATGTAGGAGGGTCGTACTTCTTGTACCTCTCGAGCCTATGCTGCTCCTCCTCTGAAACTTTTGCCCTACCCTTGGGCTAAGTTGGGGCTAAAGGTGGTACCGGTATAACCTCTGGAATCTGCTCAACCTAAACCCCGCCCTAAGATATGGCTGGAGCACGGGAATCAACCCTACCTAAGCTAGAGCACCAAATATGCTCAGGAACTGTGCAATGGTCTCCTGAAGAGCTGGTGTAGTAGTAGTAGGCACCTCAGGTGTCTGCGCTCCGACTGGAGCTACTGGTGGCTCCTCTGTAGCAGCTTGCTCGGGTGCTCTGGTTGCACCACGTGGGTGTCCTTGGCCTCTACCCCGGCCCCAACCTCGGGTGGCTCTAGCAGGTGGCTCGGGTGCCTGGTCATCTCCGGCTATACGTGTCCTCACCATTTGTGAGATAACAGAAGGCAGAAGTTTAGAATTTCAAAGTCAATAATCTCGCACGACAAGGAATCAAATGAAGTGGAATTTTCTTAACAGTTCCATAGCCTCCCGAAGATAAGTACAGACGTCTTCGTACCGATCCGCGAGACTCTAATAAACCGGCTTGTGACTTACGACTCCTATGAACCTAGAGCTCTGATACCAACTTGTCACTATCCAAGTTCTCTCTCTGTGAATCGTCGTGACGGCACCTAGTCTCTACGACTAGGTATGCCTTTTGCAAAAAATAAAACGAAAACATAAAAGCTAACAACTAACAGGTAAGTTTTAACAAGATATTAAGATGTCGCTCGGCATATAAAATAACCATTCTCGAAGTGAACATAAACTCTCACAAAACCCGGAATATCGCAAGTCACAAGCTACAGAAATAAAACAATATTTCTATACTCTAACGTCTAACAAAAGGAAATGCAAGAAGTGTTTGACATGGGGAAGAGTAGATAGGGACTCCGAGGTTTGCAGTCACAGCAAATATACCTTAAAGTCTCTACATCTTTCTTGCCTCATTGATAACGCAACTGATAAGCAGTACCTAGATCTGCACACAAAAAACATTTGCAGGAAACGACATGAGTACACCACAGTGGTACCTAGTAAATGCCAAGTCTAACCTCGGTCGAGTAGTGATGATATCAGGTCAGGGCCCTACTGGTATAAATATAATAAAATAAGACAAAATAAAATATGGCAGTAAAAATAAATATGGAAATCTAATAGGAATAGAATCATAGAAAGACAACAGCTCAGAACACAAAGATAACAATATGGGGAGCTCCCGAGATACCGTCTCGTAGTCCCAAATGTAAATGTGCAGGGGGATCTCCCAGATTACTATTCTGCAGTCCCAAAGTAAATATGCAGTACAGGGGAATCTCCTAGAATACCGTTCCGTAGTCTCAAAGTAAATATGCAGCTCAACCAACAGAAATAACAATTATAGCAAAAAAAAAACTTACAGTTTAGACTAAGTTCAAGTCAAGGAAAGCAAGAAATTTCACTAAACATGCTGCACAGAGTTCAGATAGGCAGTTAAAACACGTAGGCATGCTATGATAAACTAAACATGATAGTTACATATGCTAGTGTAGTTCAAATATGAGAAACATGTTATGACTTAGTGGAAAAACGGAGTTTTACAACAAATAGCCCATGTACGTACACGTCACCGCACGTACACGGCGCTCACATATCAAACAATACCAAATCCTAAGGGAAATTCCCCCACACAAGGTTAGGCAAGCGACTTACCTCGAACCAAGCTCAAATCAATTTGTCACAATGCCTTTTCCACGAATATCCGGCTTCGAGTGGCCCAAATCTAGTCAAAATCAAATGCATAACATAAATGTAACTACAAGAAACTAACCTAGATAGTGAAATCAAAGCTAATGCGAGAAATTGGAAAAATCGCCCAAAAAGCCTCCCCGGACCCATATCTCGGAATCGGGTAAAAGTCACAAATTATGAGCACCCATTCACTCACGAGTTCACTCGTACCAAAATTATCCAAATCTGATGTCTAAATCCCAATCAAAACTCAAAAATCCGGTTGAAGAACTTTCCCTCATTTTTCCCAACTTCTCACCCAAATTCCTTAATCTAATGGAAAAAAACATCTATGGATTAATGGAATACAACCAAAAATGAGTTAGGAATATTTACCCCAAAGCTCTCTCCGAAAATACCACGAAGAATCGTCAATTTCTGAGCTCACAAGTCCAAAAATAAAGAATGAATTCAAGCCTTCGAAACCCCGTTTTCTGCCAGAGATTTCGCTTCGGCGAGCCTTCAACAGCATCTGCGGTCCCGCACCTGTGGAAAATCCATCACAGGTGCGAAATCAACTTAAGTGGACTAGGACCGCATCTGCGAGCTCTAGGCCGTACTTGCGAGCCCCCTCCTACGGTCCTTATCCACTTCTGCGGACCAATCGTCGCGCCTGTGATCCCAGCTAATCAGGGCCAAAACTTCTTCTGCGGCTCCAAGGCCGCTTCTGCAGCTCGGCACCTGCAGCCCAAAGTGGGCAGGTGCGAAAACACCAGGTGCAATAGCTTCAACAATTCCATAAGTCCAATTTCCATCCGTTAAGCACCCGAAACTCACCCAAGGCCCCCAGAACCTCAACCAAATATGTCAACCAATCCTAAAACACCATATGAACTTAGTCGGGCCCTCAAATCACATCAAACAACGTTAAAATCACAATTAACCCTCCAATTCAATCTTAAAGAACTTGAAACTTCCAAATTCGCCAACCGATGCCGAAACCAACCAAACCACGTCCGGTTGACCCCAAATTTTGCACACAAGTCATATTTAACACTACAGACCTACTTCAACTTCCGAAATCGGAATTTCATCCCGATATCAAAAATTCAACTACCGATCCAAAACTCCAAAAATTCGGCTTTCGCCATTTCAAGCCTAAATGAGCTACGGGCCTCTAAAACATAATTCGGACACGCCCCTAAGCCCAAAATACTCAACCGAGCTAACGGAATCGACGGAACTCCATTCTGGAGTCGTTTTCACACAATTTTGACTACTGTCTAAATCTTAAGGCTTAAGCTCTCGTTTAGGGATTAAGTGTAACAGAATACTCCAAAAACCAAAACGAAGCCTCCCGACAAGTCACAATAGTAGAAATAGATATAGGAAAAAACGACCGACCGGATCATTACATCGCGCCTCACCCTTTAACGCACCTGGACTAGGGGTGATAGCTAGTACGTCGTGCCCGACATCACACCTGGCTTGGGTGCGATGGTAGAACTTTTCATTCA